AATTATTTCTTTTTTGCTCCATGTTTATCCAAATGTACAGCATGCCACACAAACTTAAATTATAACATAAGTCATAGTGGAACCCAAACTGCCTCCTACCCCTTCTAGGTAGGACATTATGTCCATCTGTTCTGTACCTCTGAAATCCAAGACTCAAGGATTGTGAGACATGTGTGCCAGCCAATACCAAACCATCCTCCCTTGTTCTGAACAACAGCACAACGTTAAGCATGTTTTCCCCTTAAGAGAGCTAACACTGACACATTTAAGATGCCCTCATCCCTCCCATTAAATAATTTCTTTCCTTTATATTATTATGACCTAAATTCACGTGCACACTGCAAGCCCATACAGCTTTATCCAGAAAGGGGAAAAATCATGGACTATCTACTCACAGTTCACCCAAGACAGATGCTGAAATACATTAAGGAAGGATTGTAAAACTAGTGTGTAATGTCCCTATACAATAACCACAGGCTGTCTCTCCTGAGGGCTTTAAGTCCAAGGCCTTTTTACCAGCCACTGCATTTATCTGAAAATAGAACCTGAATAGTAAAAACTATTCAGACACAATATGTAGGTTGTTTTTTTAAAGGCACTCACTCTGAGTGACTTTTTCCTCTTTGGATTGGGGCTGCCATATACTGTTAGAACAAAGAAGGTCAAGATCTTGCATCAGTATTCATTAGCCTACATTGCAAAATGACCCACAGTTGAAAAGTTTACAATTATGATTGCTCTGTATCTTATCTTTACTCATCTGGATTGTGATTTATTTAAAATGCTGCTTGAGATGAATTTATTTTATAATTCTTTTACAGTTATAATATTGTTTTCATATACATTTATATTTTGTTATATTGGAAACTGCTTTGTGGAGATAACAGTCTGGAAAAGTGGGATATAACTACTATATACAATTTAGAAAAATGTATAATTAGACCGAAAAATTGTGAAAATCACTGCCTTTTCTGAGGGGTCGAACACTTATATACCAGTGCTTTGCAAAGTAAAATTTATCCAAGAGTTTTAGGAAAGCCCAACTATACAAAGGATCATGCTGCTCAAAGTGGAATGCTCAGCAGTAGTTTTCAAACCCAAGCTGGTCTCCTCTCCCCTTAAATAGTGCAACTTTTCTTTCTATTTTCCCTTCCCTTCACAGACCTCTTATCTCTGTTCAATATGCCAAAACCATTCACTTCTCTCAATGGTCAGTCCATGGGATGTTCCTTCTAATACCTACCATGGTTTCCCATCAACTTTGGCCATCTGACAGATTCCTTTGTTTTCATCTAGAAAGCTCTCTGTGTCTTTCTTTCCTACCTTGTAGTTTTGCCCCATTTTGCATTACACTCCTGCCAGTGACTCTCAAATGGTGACAAATGTCCCCGCTCTCTTAAATAACATATTTTTCCTATCTTCTTCTAATGCCTTAAAACCTTCCTAAACCACTCAAGAAGAGTACTACAGTCAGCCCTTAGTATTCATGGGGATTCTGTTCTGGACCCCCTCCCTGTGGTTTTTGGATTCCAAAAACCACAGAGCCTCAAGTCCCGTGGCTTTTAATGGTGGTGCACATGCCCACCTAGCCACGCTGTCATTGCCGCATGCATACACTGCCATTAGGGACAATGGGGCTTGCCATCCACGGATGCTCAGATCCACAGATGGCAATCCTGTGGTTGAGGCAAGTGCGTTGTACTTCATTTGTCTTTCAAAATCTATAGATTCTGGTCATCTAAAATGAAAATGTGAACTATAAGTCGACCTCATGTATAAATTGAGGGCAGGTTTGGGGGCCAAATTATAAATTTTGATATGACCAGTGGATAAGTCGAGGATAAAACTTAGCAGCATGTAACAGATGTAAAGGATGAAGCAAAGGAAAACAATGCTAAAGAACTTAAAATGTTTTGACAGGAATAACTGTTTGTGCTCACCCTAAAGGGTGATGGATGAGTCTAAGGGATTGATGCTTCTTTTAGGTGCTCCGAGAAGGGATTAAACTCTTCTCTTTCACCAGGGGATGGTTCCTTTTTTGATAAGAGCTAAAGTACAGGACTTAGCATTGACCCGTGGATACTAAAATTTCTAGACTTCTTCATGAGTATATACAGTAAGTATATTGAACTGCATTTGTCTATCTTCAGCCCTTTGCCTCCCTTGTTTCTTCCCTTCCCTCTTGTAGTTTTCCTCAGAGTGAAGTTCTTGAGGGCAAATACACGTTATTCAGTAAAGATGGACATGTTGATAGTGCTGAATGAAGGAGGAAGCAGAGGTCACTTGAGACAGGGTAGTTCTGGCTCAAAAGCTATCAAACCTTCCTAAGAACTCCATAGTAAAACAGCACTGAAAGCAAATTGTTGGTCAATTCTATATCTTTGCTATAAGCATATGGAATAGATGAGCTAAGTGAGGCAGGTGTAGAATAGTATGCACAAAATGACAAACAGGTGTTGAGAGAGTAGTGAAAGGAGTATAGAACTGCTTATGGCAGGGGTAGGCTACCTAAGGACTGGGGGCCGGATGTGGCCCCTGGAGGCCTTTGGACCAGCCCCAGGCTGGTCCTGCCGCCGCCGCCGCCGCCTCCCCCCGCCATGATAATATTGATTATTGTTGTTATTACTTGTTCTTAGGGTTTTCTTGGCAAAATCTCCACAGGGGGGTTGCCATGGCTTTTCTGGGGCTGAGAGAGTGTGTATGCATGTTTGTTTGTTTTTATATTATTTATTTATGGTGCTTTGGCCCCCCCAATTGTCTGAGGGACAGCAACCCAGCCCCCAGCTCAAAAAGGTTGCCTACCCCTGGATTAGTCAATAAAGATATTGATCTTTTGTGGATTTTGTTGTTTTTTACCCTACCACTACCAGGATCTGTGCTGCGATCTGATTCCATGCTTGCTATTGAAATAAGAAAGCAAACTTAACCACGCTATTTCTAATGCACACACACATATACCATGTTTTTGGTAGAGGTTTGTGAAGTCCTTTTGTGAAGAAGAAATGTCCTCACAATCCTATATTAATACTTCTCATCAGTAATAACCATAATCATAGTGTCTATTTCTATTCTAAACCAATCAGCCTAGAATATTCTCACAGAACTGCATTAGAAACATGGTTTCATGCTTTAAATACTTCATCTTTTTTTTTCCCTTTGGAAAAAGGGATGAATAACCTTCCATTTCATTAACTATTTAACTGTTGACAGTGATACCCTAGTTATATCCCCCTTGGATTACTGTAATGAATTCTATGGAGGGGGCTGCCTTTGAAGAATATTTGGAAACTTCAGCTTGTCCAAAGAGCTGCAGCCAGACTGAAAACTGAAGCTGGTTAAAAGGAGCACACAGGTCTCTTGTTAAAACACTTCCATCTGTTACCAGTCCAATTTTAAAAGCTTATTTTGATCTATAAAGCCCTATACAACTTTGGGAAGAGGAAGGCCCTTCTCTTGGTCCCTCCACTCTCATAGGCATGTCTGGTGGGAATGCTCTGGAACTCTTCCAGGATCAGCAACTCTCTTCCTATGGAGGTCAGACTTACTGCCCTTCAAAACTGATTGCAAGCATTGTGAAATAAAATGCTGGAATTTTTTTTGTATTATTTTTGTTTTAAATGGTTTTAATTTCATGTTGTCGTTTTATCGTGTAAGCCGCCCATTGTATTACACAGAGATTGTATGTTTTACTGTGTAAGCCGCCCCGGTTGTGTTACACAGAGAGGCGGGATGCAATAAATTAGTAGTAGTAATAGTAGTAATTGTTGTTGTTGTTGTGTGCCTTCAAGTCATTTCCGACTTATGGTGACCCTAATGTGAACCTATCACAGAGTTTTCTGGGGCTGAGAAGGTGTTACTCCTTCAAAGTCACTTAATGGGTTTCCATGGCCTAGCAGAAATTGAGCCCCAATCATCAATCCTAGTCCTGTGCTCAAACCACTATGTCACTACTGTTGCCATTATGTGCCTTTGAGTCATTCCCAACTTATAATGACCCTATTAATGGGGTTTTCTTGGCAAGATTTGTTGAGATTTGTTGCCTTCTCCTGAGGCTGAGAGAGTGTGACTTGCCCAAGGTCACCCAGTGGGTTTCATGGCCGAGGTGGAAATCGAACCCTGATCTTCAGAGTTGCAGTCCAACACTCAAACCACAATACCACACTGGTAACTATGCCACATGGCTCTCTTTAATTCCATAGTTACATTTTAATTGATTTTTGTACATTTTTAGCTTTCTGTACTTGTTCTAACTGCTGCAAACCACCTTGAGTCCCAGTTTGGCCCAAAAGGCAAAATACAAATAGACAATAAGAATAAGAAAAGTGACTAGAGCAAGGCAGGACAAAAGTGGCTCTCTGGATGATTTCTTCCCCCTACAGCTCCCATCAGTCCTAGGCAACATAGCTAATACTACATGGGAGCTGCAGTCCAAAACATTTTGAGGGGTATTGTTGCCCATCCCCGAACTACAGCACTGTCACTTGGCCTTCTCAAGGCTTTGGATAGCTTGGCGGTTAATATGTTTCCGTACAATGTTTTTCTCTCCCGCATTCATAAAATGTGATCATAGAACTGTATATGAAGATGAGTAAAACAGCACTAAGTAGCCACATCCTCATATGCAAATACTGCCACACAACTCTCTAGGATGCATGGAAGGAGGAAAGAAGCGTAGGCTGAAAGGAGCTTCGTTTCTCATTCCCGGGAAGGAGGAAAAGCTGACATTGAAAACTGTTCCCATTCACACAAACTCTGTGGCACAAGGTTACTGAGCGAGGAAAATACACACTACATCTGTGGTGCACTTGCACTACAAACGTCCTCGTGACAAGTGCTCTGGCGCTGAGGCAAAAATCCACTGCCGGGAATAGGAAAAACAGGCATTTAGAAGTTGAGGGCATGCGCTGCATGGAGATGGTTCTTGGCATTTCTAGGTAAAAGAATCAGCTAGCAGAAACTGTAATATGAGGGGGGAAGGCTTTATGTTTTCTTTACCTGCAAATTGTGTAGCTTAGTGGTTTGAGTGTTGGACTATGAGTCTGGAGGCCAGGGTTCAAATCCCAGCTCAGCCATGAAACCCACTGGGTGAACTTGGGCAAATTACACTCTCTCGGATTCAGAGGATGGCAATGGCAAACCCCTCTGAAGAAACTTGCCAAGAAAACCCCACCATAGGTTCGCCTTGGGGGTCGCCATGAGTCAGAAATGACTTGAAGGCACACCACAACAACAAAACATGTACAGGCCCCCCTTCAGGACCACCACACCCCTTACTTCTTCATTTTTGCAGCACCTATTTGTTTATTTATGGAATTTCCATCCAAACTTTCTCCCAAAATGGGAGTCACCTTCTTGCGTTTACTGCAAGATTTGTTCATAGCTACACACTTTAGCATTCCTATTAACTTGTTGCAGATTCCTTTCAAAGAAAACACATCAGCATGCTTGTAGAGCTATACTTAAAGAGCTGGTCCCTGCAACAGGCATTCACAGGGAGTCGGGCAGGAGATGTTAAAATGTCTTTGACTCTCAACTGTGAAGGAAAGTGTAGCATACCACACACTGTGTAACTAAATACGGCTACCACATCTGTTGTGTAGCCCACGGCTTCTTTTCCTCTCTCACTGTCCGGACCCTTGAGCACCTTTTTGTCGGCAAGAAGAAATGCAACCGCTGCCTCATAACAGAATGTCTACACCAAATTGGTACAGGGTTCAGGTTCCTTTTCGTAATGCAGACATGCAAACAATCGGCCCCTTTTACCCCACATTGATACATCTACAATCATTACTACTCCCTAGTTGGAGACTCAAGCATACATGGAAACTCCCCGTTTCCAAATAGGTTTCCACAGAAAGGGTGAAAAGGAGCACACCTTATGAAAGTCTCTTCAGAGGTAACTTTGCAGACTGCCAGAAATAGTGCACATTAAATTAAGGCACTGCCCTGGCTCAGTGCTAGGGAGTCATGGGAACTGTATTTTTTTCGGAGACATTGAGCCTTCTCTGTCAGAGAGCTCTGGTGCCACAATAAATTACAGTTCCCATGATTCCCTAGCACTGAGCCAGGGCAATGCCTCAATTTAATGTGCACTATTTCTGGCAGTCTGCAAAGGCCCTAATTTGTGCAAGAGGCAAAAGGCTGCAATTCTTGTAGTCTTGGTTGTCTGCAAAGCGGCTATTCTGATGTGTTAAGAACTACCAGCCAGCAAAAGAGCCAGTGTGGTGTAGCGGTCTGAGCATGGGACTCCTCTGGAGAGCAGAGTTCCAATCCTCGTTCAGCCATGAAAATCCACTGGGCAACCTTGGGCAAGCCACACTCTCTTACCCTCAGAGAATGGCCATCTCTGAACAAATCTTGCCAAGAAAATCCTGTGATAGATTGGCCTTAGGGTGGCCGTAATTTGGAAACCACTTGAAGGCATGCAACAATAGCAACAGAAACCAGCCAGCATGGTGAACGTTGGACTAGGATTCTGGAGAGCAGGGTTCAATTCCCAGATCGGCCATGAAAACCCACTGGGTGATCATGGGCAAGTCATGCTCTCTCAGCCTTAGGAGAAGGCAATGGCAAAAAACCACTCAGAACAAATCTGGCCAAGAAAACCCTGTGATAGAGCCGCCTAAGTCAGAAAAGTTTTGAAGGCAAACAACAACAACAAAGAACTACCAGCCAGCATGCTGTAGTAGTGTGAGTATTGGATGACGACTCTGGAGAGCAGGATTCAGTTCCTTGTTTGGCCATAGAAACCCACTGGGTGACCTTGGGCAAGTCACACACTCTCAGCCTCAGAGATGGCAAACCCCCTCTGAAGAAACTCACCAAGATAACCCCATGATAGGTTCCCCTTAGGGTGGCCATAAGTTGGAAATGACAGCAAAAAAACAATACAAACCAGCCAGCATGGTGTAGCAGTGTGAGAGTTGAACTAGGACAGTGGGGGAGCAAGGTTCGAATTCCAGCTCAGCTGTGAAAACCCACTGGATTACACCACCACAATAAAGAACTACCAGGCAGGGCAGTGTAGTGCTGTGAGCATTGGACTAGAACTCTGGAGACTAGGGTTCTATTCCCAGCTCAGCCATGGAAACCCATTGGGCGACCTTAGGCAAGTCACACTCTCTCAGCCTTAGCCATGGCAAAATTCCCTCAGAACAAAACTTGCCAAGAAAACTCCAGGATAGGTTCTCCTTAGGGTCACCATAAGTCAGAACTTGAAGGCAAAAAAGAACAACAAAGAACTATCAGCCAGCTATGGTGTGAGGGTTGGACTCTGACAATGGAGACCCGGGTTCCAATCCCCGCTCAGCTACAGAAACCCACTGGGTGACCTTGGGCAAGTCACACTCTCTCAGCCTTGGCCATGGCAAGATCCCCTCAGAACAAGGATAGGCTCCCCTCAGGGTTGCCATAAGTCAAAACAACTTAAAGGCACCCCACAATTACACAAACCAGTAGTGTCGGACTAGTTGGACCGTGCGAGAACGCACAGTCCTCTCCCACATCAGCCAGCCTTACATGGGAGACAACAAGGTAAGGAAAAACCACCAACCAATGCTAAGAGATGGTGGGAGGTGAAGTTCAGTGGGTGGAGAATGGAGAGGCCCCAAAATGTTTAAATTTTAAAATTTCAAATTTTTAAAAAATTGATTTTTTAAAAAAATATATGTTTTTAATATTTCTTTCAAAATATCCCATTTTAACCAAAATCTTCACTATGTATATGTAAATACATGTAGGTTGTGCATATGATATTGTAATTTGAAGATACAATTTTAATTTTTCTAGTTATTTATATCACAACTATTAAATGCATGAAATTCAGTGGTAAATGGAAACTACGATTTATGAGCCAATTCACAGTACAGAAATAACCCAGTGTGAATCCGGGTTATTTCTATGACATTCACACTGGCCCCAAATGCACCCGGTGCGGTTTGTGGGGGGGGGGCAGGCGGTGAAAAACCTGCTTAACCTAGTGCATTTTGAACCTCACCACGTCTTTTTTTTAGGGCCAGAGTGATTCAGATCTTCAGTAGTGTGAACGTACTACTGAATCAATCTGGATCACTGGGATCGTTCCCAGCCACGAGGTGCTGCCATGCTGATGTGAAGCGACACATGTGCGAATGCTGGACTGTGTTTAAATGCCTTGGAGAGATTCGAACACAGTATACATAGTGGGAACACTGATATGATATCGCTTTGCCACAGAGATCCGCATCTCCTTGGTACAAAAAAGTAAGGACTTTACCACAAGGGGGAAAGCAAGGATTAAAAAGGTATTTTCCTGGCAAAGTCCCAAGATCATGGCAAAGATTTTTAGACGATGCCGTGATTACAGAGGACTTATCCCAAGAATAACCAGGGAATAACCAGCAACATATCATTCATGGGGAAATCCCATTAATGATTTGTTGCTGGTTATTCAATGGTTATTCCCAGGACAAGTCCTCTCTAATAGTGATGTGTCTTGCTGCAATCTTGGGACTTTGCTGGGAAAATGCCTTTTTAATCCTGGCTTTCCCCCCGTGTGATAAAGTCCTAAGGAGTTTATCACACGGGCGACAATTGGAAGTATAAACAGTGATTAACCCGTGATAATCCTGCATTTGCACTAATGGTTTTCACACAACATCATGTTCAAAGTGATATTATCCTATGATTAACCTGTGATTATCATGCAATTGCGCTAATGGTTTTCACACGATGTCAAGGTGAAATGTGATTAAAGTACCATTAACCTGTGAATTGCCAGGCAAGAAATAGCAAAAAAACATTCATGGGATTTTCCCATGAATGACTTTTTGCTGTTTATTCCCTGGTTATGCACAGGATAATGGCTCTTGTATTAATCTCATTTTAATCATGTTTTAATGTCAACTGCAAGATTTTCTCAGGTTAATCACTGGAGTTTATCACACGGGGCAAATGCAAAAATCCCGTGCAGAAATGGGATTTAAAAACTGGGAAAAACCAGCAAAAGTGGGTAGTTTTTCACACATGACAGAGTAGAAAGTAGACAAAAGTAAAAAGGAGTGGGTTTTGTCTAGTTTCTATTCGGGTTAATGTTGCGTTCCCATTAACCCCGAACGTCATCTAAAAAACAACTTGCTTTTGCAAGTTTTTCCTACTTTTTGTTCAGGTTAACTCCGAATGTCATCTGAAAAACAAACCGCTTTTGCAGGTTTTTCCTATTTTCTGTTTGGGTTAACTTCAAATGTCATCTGAAAAACAACCCACTTTTGCTGGTCTTTCCTACTTTCTCTTTGGGTTAACCCTGAATATCATCTGAAAAACGACCCATTTTTGTAGGTATTTCCTACTTTCTGTTTGGGTCAACCCCAAACATTATCTGAAAAACTACCCGCTTTTGCAGATTTTTCCTACTTTCTCTTCAGGTTAACCCTGAATGTCGTCTGAAAAACAACCCGCTTTTGCCGGTCTTCCCTACTTTGTATTTGGTCCAACACCAAACATCATCTGAAAACAACCCGCTTTTGCAGGTTTTTCCTACTTTCTCTTCAGGTTAACTCCGAATGTTGTCTGAAAAACTACCCACTTTTGCTGGTCTACCCTAGTTTCTGTTCAGGTTAACCCTGAACATATTCTGAAAAACAACCCGCTTTTGCAGGTTCTTCCTACTTTGTGTTCAGGTTAACTCCGAACGATCAAAAACTACCCACTTTTGCCGGCTTTTTCCAGTATAAATCCAGTTTCTACATGGGATCTGTCCCATGTGATACATTTTAGTATCCAAAGTCCCTATTTCCCTCTACCTACCCATTCTGTGTGATAAAGTCCTAAGTGTGAATGCCAATAAGGAGTAACATCAGTGGCAATTTTAAAAAAAGCATTACTAAGGATTTTTCTGTAAGGTGTGGAATGGGAAAAGAAGGAGGAGGAGAAGGAAGAGAAAGAGTAGGAAGGATTTTCCAAAATAATAATAATAATAATAATAATAGTAATAAAATGTATTTCTATCCCGCCCCTCTGCAACGCAATCGGGGCAGCTTACAGTTTAAAAATTCCACAATACATATATATCCAGCCATGTCCTAACCCAACCATC